GCAGCACACCAAGACTTCCCCACCCTCAATGCTGGTAAATTACCTCTCAACCATCTTCTTCGCTGGCCTCTGACCACGCTGAGAGCTCTAGGGGCAGCGAGCACAAAAGTCACTTCAACTTGCATTGAAACAGAATTGTTTTAATGGTTTAATTGCGATCCTGCTTTGAAGGCATCTGAGCTGGGGGCACTCAACATCTTATCTCAGGAGGGCAATTCTCCCTTCCTAGTCCTTTTATCCTTCTGCCAACGCCTTCACTATTACAGAGCACTATTCGCAGTAACTAGCCAGGCAAGGAAAACAGTGGCCCGAAGCATTCTGTTCCTTGACCTCAGCTGCTTTGCACACTCCCCAAGATCTCCCTGCCTGCCGACGTTATCAGCCTCAAATGTCCTGTGTTGCTCTGGGCACTTTTAATATCATCACCCAGCCAGGAAAGGCTGCAGCAGCTGCCGAACTGACCGTGGCTCCTCGTGCTGTGCAACAAGCCCATGTGGGCAGCAGCAAATTCAAGGTGATACAGCATCCCTGAAACAGAAGCAAACTTTGCCTCTGAGGATGCTGGCTCAACTCCCTCCTCCACATACATCACATTTCTTTTGACGACGCATATTTTGGCCCCATAGCATAGTTCAGGATTAGTAGCTTGCTCTCCCCTCTCAGATCAGCTGGCTGCAGCCTCACTCACACTGTTAGCTCCTCAGCTTTAAGGAGGACAACGGTAATGAAAAGGTGAAAACAATTCCCAAGTTTGAGCTGTGCTGAGCCACTGCTGGAAGAGAAAGATCCCAGCTCTGCATTCCTCTGCTCCTTCCTCCAGGCTATGTCCATATAAACAGGGCTGGGGCGCAAGGAGAGCCTCCAGACGCCTGCTCCCCTGCAGCAGCCATCAGCCTGGGCAAGGAGAGATGCCTCAAACACAGCTACCTGACAGGAGCCCCTCCACAAGGGTCAGACGCTCCCCCAACCCCACTGCTGGCCGGAGCGGGCGAGAAGAGACATTCCCCCTTTCAAAGAACGTTTCCATTCCTGCAACTGCTTTGCCTTTGCTTCCAGAACGGAGGCAGGCGGCTGCAGCCCTGGGGGGAACACGATGTTCAGCACAGCAGGGACCTCCGGCCGCAGCTGCACGGATCCATGCAGCGCTCGGAGCACAAATCCGCCTCGCTGGCAGGACCCGGACTTCAGCAGCACATTACTGAGCCTGGCACGGCCACACCAAGCTGGGAGCACAGGTCTCCGAGTGCTCCCCATCAAAAAGCCAGTTATCCAAGTTAGTGGAGGTCCTGCACCCTGCCAGGGTGGCACGGCCAGTGCTCGTCTGCCTGCGGTGCCATCCATACACCCCAAAAGGTGTTATCCAACCCCCAAGGGGTTACACAAGCAGGGCCCACACCACAGGCAGCGGCACCGGGAGATCTCAGGAGCTCCTGTGAGAAGGCCTTCAAGAATGAAAGGGTAAAGAGGTGACTGGGGAGAGCTCGGCACCCAGGGCTGCGCTGGCAGCCTCTTCCCCAAGCCCAGACACGCTTCCACCCCCACTTCCAACAGACCCCTTGCCCCAAAAAGAGCTCCATGCTCCCAATTTCCTCCCGCCGCCCTTCAGAGCGACCTACAGCAGGATCTCCGGGTGACTGCTGTCAGCTCGTCCTATTTAACGGGTCCCTCTCCTCTGGCCCCACTGCAGAGCACTGTCACCCCCACGCACACAGCCCCCACTGGGGTCCCAACACACGGGGTACCCCGACCTTACCTGCCTGTCCCCTTGCCCGGGGTCACCCTGTCCCCCAGGTATCCCTATGGCACAGTCAAGCCCCCCCACTCCACTCCCCAGCTTTCTGTTCCCCACCTTCCTCCCCCCTCGAGCCAAACCAAGCCCGGCCCCAGACCCCCTGTCTGGGGACACGTTTCCCCCCTGCTGGTGCCAGCCCCCATCAGCACCCCCTCACCCCCATCCAGCCCAGGGCTGTACCCCGATACAAAGCTCTCTCTCCTCAGTACCCAATCCCTCCCTATTTCACCCCAAACTGGGCCAGCATCCTCCACCGGGCTCCTCCACCCCGGCTTGGTACCAGTCGCCTCTCGACGGTACCAGTCCCCGCCGACTTCCCTCCCACTGAATGGGGACAGCCCCCCCTTCCCACTCACCCCTCAAACCGGACCAGTTCCCGCTTCCACATTCCCCCCCCGCCAGGGCTGCCCTTCCCAGAGCCGGGCCAGCCCCTCCCGAACCGGGCCAGTCCCGGCCGGTACCGGTACCTTCTTGGGGGCCTTGGTGACGGTGGCCATGAAGGAGTACTCGGCGTCCTCCACCTCCTTGGCCTGCTTCACCTCCTCGCCGCCGGCGGGCTCCGACACCGACATCCTGAGGGGGAGG